ATCTCCAGATGCACATCTGTGAATAAAGGTAATTATAATTAAGTGCACTTTGGTATTTGTGTGACTGAATATTCTTTCCATCATCTGGAACCCGATGAGGAAGTGGCAAACTTCCGTCACAGCATACAGTTCCAAAGTTCCAACTCAGTAGAATTTGACAGGCATCAATACAGTTTTAATATATATAAGCAAGAAAAATAAAGGTATGAAAGGTACATAAAGGAATCTAAAGTTATGAAAAGTAACTAGAGCTTATAAGGTAACTGAAGCCTATAAGATTCAAATCTTACAGGGAGCATCTCTCCCCATCAAGAAATATTTAGGGGAATAGTTCTACAAAAATCATACATACTGTAACTTTAATTGTGCCTTCTTATATATACAAGTTACACATGCTGTGTGCACTAATGCACCCCCAAGCCATCATGAATGCTAACTTTTTAACTGTGCTGATAACAAGCTTCTCTTTGGCCTTTTGGCCTTATCTTGAGAAACATCATTCTTCAAAAGACTCAGCCTTCGTGGGAAGCTCTTTTATACCTGATCATGATACTGACTTGTTGCCAATTAACTAAGTAATTCAAAGGTGCTCCAACAGGTGTTTTTGTTTTATTTTGTTTTGCATTGTTTTGCCAAAGTGGCTGTGAACAGAAGAGCCATCTGTGCTGTTGTTGGTCAGTGTCAGCCCACAATGTTGTAGACAATGAAACAAATTGTGACATGCTAGACTTTGTGTCAAGGTGTCATGAGGTGTCACAGATGCAACATTGTTCTGGCCTCAAATTCAGAATGACCTTAGATAAACCAAAACATATATAATATCAGTTTGAAAGATCTTTGAGCTGTTATCAATACATATATGGAGTAAAAGGGTTTTTTTTCAAAACATTTAATTGTATTAGAAATGGGATATTGTATCATTAATAGGTCTCTGGATTTGTATAGTTAATTTGAACTAGACAAATGCATTTCCTGAAGAAAAGACGTGTGGATGCGAGCTTGGTAATGTATTGCTCTGAAAATGCCTGAAATCATTCGCCAAAATGGCAGAAGGATGAGAGGAAATGGCTGAAGTTCTTTTTTGAATTATCAGAAGGATGAGATGAAATATAATATATACAAGCAGGATTTTTTTTTGAAGAGCTAAACATTTTGATACCTGAATGGCTTTTGGAGCTGAGACTATGCTGAACTTATAAAGATGTGAAAATTGTCTCATTCGTCCCCACGAAGTAGGTAAAGTGAGCAGGTGTGTGTGTGAGTGTGTGTGTGTGTGTGTGTGTGTGTGTGTGTGTGTGTGAGTGAGAGAGAGAAGTCCCAATTACACCACGTGGACTACTACAGTGTGGCTATTGAAATGAAACATTGTGAGGATTGCCCTGAAAATGCCTGAAATCAATTGTTTAACGAGCTGAAAGATGAGAAGTTATGGATGAAGTTCTTTGTTGAAATAG